GTGCGTGTGCAGAAGCTGCTCCATCTAGAAGGCGAGTGCCCGTATTCTTGATTTAGCAAAGAGAGGTGCGGGAGCCGTTGCAAAAGCGAAAACCAATTAAAGCCTATGCAGCAAACCTATATGAAACGAACCTCGAACGATTTGACGAGTTGCTGGTTCTCGTAGTTCCAGATGTGCACGTTGCCGTTGTACAGGCCCACCAGCATCCAGGCTTCGCTCGGATGCAGATCCACGCATTTCACACGGTCCGAGCGAGCCAGCAGCTTCTTCTTCACATCCAGCCGCAGAGGCATGCTTCCCGAGGCCTGCAAAATCAGAACATTTCACCAAGCACGCCGATGCGCCTGCCCAGATCGCTGCCTGGAGCACTGCAGAACGCAGCACAGCCCGCTCGGCGGCTGCACAAACGCAGGCGCTCACCCACAGCGAGCACTTCAACCGCTCACGTGAATGGCGCCTGAGACCTGCCGGGAACGGCGCTTCGCCACCGACAGCCTACCTCCAGCGTCCCCTGCCGCGCAGCGCAGCACAGCAACAACGCACAGAAACAAACTGAATCAGCAGCGACAGCAGCACACTCACCGACCGCCCCCGCCCCGTCCTTCGGACGAACACGTCGAGCGGATTACGTGAGCAAAGTCGCGCTGTGCAAACGTGACGGCTCTGGGTTGTTGCGTGGGTGGAGTGCCGCCTCCTATGCAAATTCGAGGGCCTCCTGGGAGGGCCCCGATTCAAGGCTGCGCCTGCCCTTCCCGCTCTGGCCTCAAGCGCCAACTTCTATGACTTCCGTTCCGCATAACTGCCGCGTAATTCAGTCGTCTTTGGTCGATTGGTTTCGTTTCGGGCTTTCCTCCCTTCCCTCACACTTCTTTCTCCCCCTCCCTCCTCCTCCTCCCCTTGCCTCTTGCTCCTGTCGCCACCTGTCTGCTAGCTTTTGCTCGGTGCGAACAGCTATCGTCCGACAAACCTTTCATGCTCCTTCGCTCGATTTTTCTGCACTTCCCTGAGAGCATACCGACAATTCTAAATGCACTCTCAGATGGGTGTACCTGCCTCTTCATGAATATTTACTGCGCTTTGTTCGAAGTTGGGGAGAGGGTGGTGCCGGTCACTGGTCAGTGTGAGTGGTGCTCATTTTTGTACATGTACTTTTATCGTGTTCGACATAAGCGTGTAGTCCTGGGAGGCGTCTGTCACGTTGGAAGTGTAGCCATAGTGGTGCGTGTATTAGTAAAGGCAAGAGGCAATAGTGACATATGTAATAATTGCATATATGTATATATAAAATATACGAAATGCAAAAAAAAAAAATAATCGGAAGAACAGGGATAT